CCCCGCACTCGATGAATAAAAGCAACAGCTGTTCCGGTTGTCGTATTTATCAGACGACAGAAGACGGACCACCAAGGCATTACGTGCGGAAGCTGTTTCCGATGCGAGCACAGCAGCCACATTGATTGCAGCAGCGGTTGCATTCTCTCTCACACACTCCTTCGCGCACGCTCTTCGCTTGATCTTCGCTTGATCTTTATTCCTATCAATTGTGTGGTATAGCTGCGCGCGGTACGCGCGTCGTCGATATATCCAATCCGTATAAGGAGAACATGCGATATTGTCATTGTAGGTACTTATCGAGTACGTGGCAATGTACGCTAATCTAATAAATCGAAAGGCGAGTGATGATGCGTCGCGGGGCTCGTGTTATACCGTCTGCTTTCCGAACCAGTTTTTCGAACTTTCAAACCAACGGTCATACTTGCGATGCAATTACAGCGGCCACGCCTCGTAGTCTGAGATAGCGGCAGGCGTCCCTCGAGGATTTTCCGAACTTACTCGTAATACGATCATTAGCTATTGATCCGACCTACCTGCATACCTGTACCCAACTGCTCCCATGAATATACCAACCGAATATACAGGCGAGACTCAGGTAAGGCCGCCGCTTCGTTGTAAACGTTTTACGCATTGAATTACTTAAACTTGTGAATAAGAGGCGGGATTATAAACGAAGTATAATAGCTGTATACGTGCAATCCGATTCCGCAACAGCATCCGAATGGCTCGTTTGAGAATTAAATAAATTCGAGTGCAAAAGAGAACTTTTTTTCTTTTTCTTCCTTTTTTCCATCTAACGTTTCAACTCTTACACTGCTAGATAGATATGTAGGTCGAATAGACTGTTGGAATACGGAGTAATACGCCTGATATAATGGATGCGAAATACGCCCGCCTAGCGTTGCGCTCGAAAGAAGCTTACCTTCGCGTTGCAGTCCGCCTGATTTGCGTTCGTCTCACTTTTTGGCCAATTTACGCGGAAAATTCAATGTATCGCTGGCAAATACGGTGTTAAATTCTTTGAGCTCTGAGTAAACAGCGAAAACAAGCATGGGATTGTAATTAGAATCACACTAATGAGACAGCAAGAATGGAGCGTTGCAACGATTTTAGCGACGACGTAAACTCGCAGTTAAAAAAAAATAGAGAGAAACAACTAAAATAAATGACATCGACGCGGTTCACCCAATAGTATCCAACATGTGTCAATTCAACAACATATTGTATAGTAGAGTGATACACGAATGAACGAATGAGTTGTCCCGAGAGACGTAAGATCCCGTGATAGGCCGGCCGAGATATGAGAATTTCGGATAAAATGACGAAATATTTTGAGATCAGAGCGGCGAACGAGGAGAGGTGTCGTAGCGGCGCGCCACAAGCGCAGCAAAAAAGGGCTGACGATGATTGAAGTGCTATACAACAACAACAAGAACAACAACAACAACAACAACGGCACATGCATACTCTGCACGCCGGCTTTACTTACTTAGAGATGAGCTGAAAGGGTTGAAGGAGACGGACGAGTCAACCAAGATGCCAGACGAGGAGCCTGTGGAGTGTGTGGAGCGTGTGGAGCGACATTGGGAGAGCCATTGTGCAAAATTGTCAGTGACGAATCCCTCGGGACGAGTCGCACGATGCCGCTGCCTTATGTCGCGCGTTGCGTTTCGTGTCAGCGAGCACGCGATATTATAACACCGGGGAAATGATAAAAGCCGATGCGACGAGGCTGTAATTTCCACGGATAGTTTCGAAAGACAAAATTACGATAATCGGAAAGTCTGGATTGGGGAAGAATATTGGAGTCGGGCGCCGTCTCGGACACCTTGTTTATTCGTCATTTATTTGCCGATAATAATTATAGACAATTAAATTCTGCAGATCAATACGAATCATTGGAGGAAGCAAGTGCATGAAATCGGGAATGTGGTAGGGAAAATATGTTGGGTTATTGCGAGGAGGAGGAGGGTGGTTGGGGATTCGGCGGCGGCGGCGGCGGGGGGGGCGGTTGCGGATGAACCTGATGAGGCAACAAACTGTGAGACTGAACGTGCTGCGGGTGATGATGGTGGTGATGTTGATGGTGGTGCGAGTAGAATATCGGTTGGCTGCCGACGGTGGATGCGCACGACGTGCCGACACCGACGCCAACAGCAACTCCGACCGAATGTGAGATTCCGGTTGTCCCCGTTGCAGCTCCAGAGTGGGCCGGGGGTCCTATGCCCGACGAAGCAACGACACCGGGATGCCCGACACCAATTCCACCGGGCGTCGTACTGCCACAGGGAGTAACGGGAACAGGTGGATTGTGACCGTGAGCATGAGCATGCCCGTGTCCTGGACCGGCTCCAGCTCCCGAGACAACAACGGAGCCGGCGCCCGTAGTCACGCCGGCCGAATTATTTGCCGACGCCTCGTGATAAAGGATAGGAACGCGAACGAGACGCTGAGCCGCGTGCGCCATATTTGCCGCCTCGAGTTCCGCGGCCAGCTGCCTCTTCCATTTGTTTCGTCGATTTTGAAACCATATCTTAACCTGAGTCTCAGTGAGACGCAGCGAGGCTGCCAAGCCAGCCCTCTCCGAGGACGAGAGGTAGCGCTTCATGTCGAAGGTACTCTCCAGCTGAAAGACCTGCGACCGCGAGAATACGGTTCGTGTCTTTTTCTTCCTTTTAATGCTTCCGGTATCTCTTCCGTCAACACCGACCTGCTGCAGGGTTTGACCGCCGCCATTGCCACCGCCTGACGAATGAAGGATCCTCGTTGGAGCCGAGCCCTCGCCTTCGCCATCGATTTCTGGAACGTCATCCTGATCGGCCAACTCGTCGTGAGCTTCGTCCCCCGTCGATGGGCTCCTATCCCTTGTCCGATGGGATCTCTCCTCGGCACCACCTCCATTATCCTCGTCGAGTTCTTCTCCTAATTAAATAACATAACACGTTTCACGTGATTATTGCAGCTTGAGCACTCCCACACTTACGAGAAATGTTTTTGAAAAACTATCTATCGTACTTGTCGTAAATATTAAATCTCGTTATTCTCATTTTCATCCCTTTATCACGAAGGTATATCCCGAGGACGGACGACTAACACGTTTCCTTCGGATATCTGATATTAAAGAGTACATCGTGCACGTCGAATGCCTTTGAGCCGCTACTGCATCGTCCCGGTATCTCAAACCATTCAAAATGATAATTTCAAAGTGCCCGATTTCAGGAAAAGTAACGCTCAGGCTTTGCAACTTCACCGTACCAACCTTTTTTTCAAATATCTGCTTGTGGGCTCCTATGGATCGCGATGGTACGCCTCTATATTCGCGAAAACGAAATAGCCAGTTGTGTACCGCGCTCAATGAAATCAGCGTGCGTATGGTGCAAGTACGAGGAAGCAATTCTCGATAAGCTTCCGTGTAAGTACGCCTACTACTTCCGATATCAACAATAAAAGTGTTGCAACCTTTCCTAAGAGGCATGACTCTATTTATCTACGCAACCACGCTCCAATTTAAGCTTTATGAGACCACGTGTCATACGCACGCATATATATATATTAGTCTCTGTCTCTCTGGCTGTCTACCGCCGCCTCCCCCCCCCCCC